TATATATATATATATATAATTTGTACAATTAAGTTATTAAAAAATATGAATTTAAATTATAAAACAAACACGTAATTATTAATGATAGTTTAGTGCTACTGGGATTCAAATATCGAGCATGGAACCCATAGGTATAATTTTTGTATAACGCTAAAAATTGTGTATCTCAATAAATTAATATTTAATATACAGAATAAAATACAATTAATGTTGTTTTAATATACAGTTGACGATATGGACGCGACTATACATCCCGGCCCTCGGACGTTGGATCTATTAGCCCTACAGCCCCAACATAGATTTGAGTATATATGGGATGGACAATTGCTTACACAGACTTTCCGGGCCAGGAGAGTGGATCTATTGTGGGAGTTTTTGAGTCATAGAGTTCTACATCCCTGCGTGGTCCATTACCTGGAGGAGATGGGATTATATAGGATTATTAGGATTGGCCGGATATAGCTCGACTAGGCTTTGATCATGGCCTTGATTGAGCGGTGGCGACCGGAGACGCACACTTTCCATCTGCCCATCGGCGAGACCACCATCACACTCCAGGACACTGAGATTTTATATGGCTTGTCCGCTGATGGCTTGCCAGTTTTACTGTCTGCGACCATGAGATATTATTCGTGGTAGTCTTATTGGGATATGCTGCACATGCTCACGGGTTTCAGGACGGAGGACGAGACTGCAGCGTCTGGGTCCAGTCGTATGCAGTTGGTCCCCATCATAGACCACCTGGAGCATATCCAACATACTATCACCGACGAGTTAGTGGAGGTAGATGTACAGCGATATACAAGGCTGTTGTTACTCCTTCTACTTGAGGGGGTCTTGTTCCTGAACACTTCGGGGAACCTAGTGAGCCTCCGTTTTCTACATCATATTAGTCGGTTCGAGGATACAGCCATCTACAGCTGGGGTTGTGCTATCATCTCATATTTGTACAGGCAGATGTGTCGGGCTTGCATCGGCACACAGAGAGACGTTGGTGGATTTCTGCCGCTTCTACAGGTGACAACATATTCAAATAATATGTCCATTAGTTACAATTCTACCTAGTTATAGTTAATCTTATACTTTACGTCAACATTGTATGTTAGGTTTGGGCCTCAGAGCGATTTCTGCAGTTTCAGCCACCTCTACCAATACTACCGGCTAATGTAGAAATTCTACATCTCCCTCTAGCCTATATGTGGGTTATGCGTTGTACTCTTGCACGAGAGTATGATGCCCATCATAATCTCCCTCTCTACAGGGATGTGTTAGATTTGTTGGAGGACGCACAGGTGAATATCTAACTAAACTTACCTGTTTTAGATTAACTTAGTGTTGCGCATACTAACGGCTTGTGTGCTTATTTGATAGTTCATCTAGATGTCGTACAACGATGAGGTGATAGGTACCCTGCCAGCGTATTGCATGTTCGGCCGACATATTTGGAGGGCTTCTGTCCTGCTCATATGCCTCGATATTGTTGAGCTCATGCCTCCGAGCGGGTATTTCGTCAGTTTGGCCTACCGCAGCCTATACCGAGTCCGCCTGCATGGCTTGCTTTACATTATGAGAGGGATGATCGGTCCAGGGCGGACGACACATTTATGGCATAGCTTGACGAACAATTGGGTACATGGGACAGGCGAGGGGACTTGACCCCACTTCCGTAGCACTTTCCTATTCAACGTTATATGGCATGGTATCGCACTGTTTCCCGACTTTTTATTGGGAACCTAGTTCATCAAGCACACGGTCGGTACGTCCCATATGCCGGGAGACACGAGGCCCTAGTATGTTTTCTGTTATTATTAATTATATACCTATAATTTAGTGCCAAATATGTAGTTTATAATTTTTACTTTGTGCAGGCGATTGGATTGCATACCGTCTATCATATGGGGCTGCAGATGCAGAGTCATATCCATGCTCCTGTGGCCATGCCGGAGTATAGTCGTCGATTTATGGATGTGGCTGCCCAGACACTACAGCAAGCCCGATCGGATCAGCGTTTGGCATACGAGGTTGATTATATGGACCCAACGCAGTACAAGTGAGGTCGTGGTATCCCACGAGCTGGACGTGCCCGGCGAGCTAGTGGTGCCGAACGACGTGGTCGTGGGCGGAGAGGAGGTGGTCCCCAGCAAGGGGGCGTTGAGGCTCCTACTGA